GCGCTCCGCACAGTAACCCCCCCCCGTTCATAAAGTCAAGTAGCCTACCCCTCAAAAGGTCCGGTTTATTTCATTTTAAGGATGCGAACCAAGCAACATCTCCAGGTGCTCCTTTGAGAAACAGGGCAAAAAAGTTATGTGCACCCCTGGATATTATGAACCATTAGAAACAAGTGAGATTGAAGGGCAAAATAACATCAGACAGTAGGAGAGAAACAGCAATGTGCTTTAAAATGATTATAGTTATCTTAAGCATACTATATTACATTGTTTTTTGGACTTGATAGGAAAGATTCCAAGTTGTTTTTGCATTGATCCACTTGAACATTATTCACATCACATGTCTGTACCATGAATAATGTTTGACTATAAATATTAATGTAAAGGAAATTGTTTTATATGAAGTTAAATAAAGCAGAGGCATATTCCAAAAGCTATATATATTTGTGTAGCTTAAAAGCATCAATCAATGTTTATTTATATAGCCCAATATCACAAATGTTACATTTGTCTCAGTGGACTTTACAGTTTGTACAGAATATCAGTATGACAATACGACACCCTCTGTCCTTAGACCCTCACATCGTACAAGGAAAAACTTCCGAAGAAAACCCACAGTTTAAAGGGAAAAATGGGAGAAACCTCAGGGAGAGCAACAGAGGAGGGATCCCTCTCCCAGGACGGACAGACGTGCAATAGATGCCGTGTGTAAATCGAAAAAGATAATACATTTGCAACATAGGTAGTCCAAATGTTTGGAAATGCATGTGTGTATAATAGGAAGATGAATCCACGAGGATATCCATCCAGGACCTATGATCCAGGACCACAGCCACGACTCAAGATCCAGGACAGAGGAGCGCAGGATCATCCATGACTCCGGATCCCGGCGTATACAGACACCAAAAAGAAAGACATTTGGGGAAGCTGGGTTAATCGGAACATGAGAGTACACAGGTATAGACAGAGAGAAGGAAGAAGTAAGATGTCCCCCGACAAACTAAGCCTATATCAGCAAAACTAGGGGCTGAATCTAATCAGCCCTAACTATAAGCTTTATCAAAAAGGAAGGTCTTAAGCGCACTCTTAAAAACGGATAGGGTGTCTGCCGCCCGAACACAAACTGGAAGCTGATTCCACAAATGTGGAGCTTGATAAGAAAAGGCTCTGGCTCCCATTGTACTTTTAGAGACTCTAGGAACAACCAACAACCCTGCATTCTTGGAACGCAATGCCCTAGTAGGACAGTAGGGTATAATGAGTTCTTTAAGGTAAGATGGCGCCTGCCCATTAAGGGCTTTGTAGGCGAGAAGAAGAATTTTAAATTCTATCCTGTGTTCTATAGGGAGCCAGTGTAAGGCAGCCAGAACAGGAGTAATGTGGTCCCTTTTCCTAACTCTGGTTAGTACACGAGCTGCAGCATCAAACCTTTTAAAAGCCACATTTTCTCTATTGTAATTGCAATAATCCATATATGAAATGTGAATGAGTTGTGTTGACAGTGATGACCAGACAGTTAATGAATCTGAGATTAAGGTTTTCAATAAACACTTTTGAATTATGTGAGTGTGACCTAAACAGATTTAAAATGATATTGTCCCTTTGACAACATTTTAACTTAATTTTCAGCTACAGAGAATCCAAGTATTTATTTTATCTTTAATGTCAGTTGTAGAGTGCTTTTAATAAAAGCAAAATCTAATCCAGCCAGAGTGAGAGAAAACAAGATCAGTCCACTCAGTGGGTATAAATCCAGGGATTGATGTCACATTCAAAGACCTTTTTAAAAAACCGGCAGCTTTTACCCCGGCTGCCCTTTGCCATGGCAACAGTGGGAACGATGTTACTGACAGAACTGTCCGCTGATACTAATGCATACTTAATCCTTGTAAGGACAATTTATCAATGACATTTGTAGGCGTGTGGCGCAGTGGATAGAGTGTTGGTGTTCGGATCAGGGGAGCACAGGTTCAAACCGCACTGCAGTCAGCATGTCGTTGTGTCCCTGAGACACTTCACCCCAAATTGCTCCTGTGGGGATCGCCCACAGTGTTGAATGTAAGTCGCTTTGGATAAAAGCGTCTATCAAGTGACATGTGATGTAAATCAGACTTTAGTTCCACCTGGAGTAAATCCACAAGCTACCCTGCAGTATACAAAGTCATTCAAACTAGCTGCACCTTCACCAGCTTTGAGAACACTTTCATGATCAATCATTATAAAACATATCATATATATTATTCTGAAATGGACCAATCTGCACAACGACTACTTTTACTGTCTTTCACTATATTTTGATGAGAATACTTTCTTTTTTCACTTGAGGAACATTTTGAATGCAGGACTTTTACTATAACAGAGTATTCCTACACTCTGGTACTTCTACTTTTACTCAAGTACAAGATCTGAGTACTTCTACTTTTACTCAAGTACAAGATCTGAGTACTTCTACTTTTACTCAAGTACAAGATCTGAGTACTTCTACTTTTACTACAAGATCTGAGTACTTCTTTTACTACAAGATCTGAGTACTTCTTCTTTTACTACAAGATCTGAGTACTTCTACTTTTACTCAAGTACAATGGAATGTATGTTAGTCGCTTTGGATAAAAGCGTCGAACAAGTAAGACATGTAATCAACAAGAATGTACAAACGCACACCAATCATATAATGATTTATAAATATAGTGCACACTCCCGTTCTACAGGAGGAGATTGAACCTTGCTCATGGTAATAAGTATGGAGCTAATCTCCTGCCATAACTCCACAAACAAACTAAACAGGTTTTACAAATGCCTCATGATTCACTAACAAACACAATGTGGTTTGCAAATACCAAACACCATCTACAAACTGATGCATTTAGTTCTGCAAAGAAAACACGTATCTATCAAACAAACACAACATTTTAAATCATGTTTCAGAGAAAGATTCAGCAGGTTTTACAAGTTCAACACTTCTTTTTACAAGTACATTATTTTTTCAAATAATTAGTTTTTTCTTCTCCATGTCCCCTAGGGCAGTGTTTTTCAAAGTGGGGGCCCCGACCCCCCGGGGGCCGCCAGGGGGCGCCAGGGGGGTCACACAAAGTTTGAGGGAAAGGGGAATTTTTTCCTTTTTTTAAAGTTACATTTTTATAATTTTTTTAGATGTTATAAATAACTGCATATCTATCAATCTATATGTCCTTTGATGCCAATCTTTTAATATTTAATAATATATATATATTTTTTAAATCACACGACCGCCCTTCAAGCCAATCAGAATCGAGCTGCCACTACTGAGAGTGAAACTGAGTATCTGCTCAGCTTTTGGAGCAAGCTCGTGAATGTTTCGCTCTGCAGCCGGATGAGAGCACGGATGTAGCAAATATTGATGTTTATATATATATGAATATAAATATGTTTATTGTTAATATTACTGTTGAATATTATATATAAATAGCTTTCAAAAATGCTAAAAATATATGTTAATTGTTCATATTACTGTTCAAAATGATATATTATAAAGACAGAAATCACTTTAAAAATGCTTTAAAATATGTTTACTGTTTAATATTGTGTTAAGAATGTTTATAACAGAAGACGTAATGAATGACAAACAAAAGAATACAAACATTTTTTTGAAGAATAACTGATTATTAATTATTAATACAAATATATATATTAAGAAAATGTATTAAGCTGTATAATTAGTTTGTCATATTTTCCATCATAATGTACTCATCATTTAAAAACAGGGGGGTCTCCGCCAGAGGATCATGCTATATGGGGTCCTTGGCATGGCAACGTTTGGGAACCCCTGCCCTAGGGGGCTCCGTAGAATTTGTCTCTGAAACATGATTTTAAATGTTATGTGTTTGTTTGATAGATACGTGTTTTCTTTGCAGAACTAAAGCATCAGTTTGTAGATGGTGTTTGGTATTTGCAAACCACATTGTGTTTGTTAGTGAATCATGAGGCATTTGTAAAACCTGTTTAGTTTGTTTGTGGAGTTATGGCAGGAGATTAGCGCACGTGTACGGAGGACACACCGGGGACACATATTTAAGTATGAAAGACATCAAAATGTGCATTTTGCATAATAGGTCTCTGCTCCACTACAGTTCAGAGGTACATGGTGTACTTTTACTCCACTACATGTATTTAATACCTTTAGTTACTTTACAGATCTACTTTTACTCAAGTACAAGATCTGAGTACTTCTACTTTTACTCAAGTACAAGTTACTCAAGTACAAGTTCTGAGTACTTCTACTTTTACTCAAGTACATGATCTGAGTACTTTTACTCAAGAACAAGATCTGAGTACTTCTACTTTTACTCAAGTACATGATCTGTGTACTTCTCCCTGCTCTGTTTACTGAAAGTACTTGTCCTATGTCCTTGTAATATATATATGTATATATATATATATAATATATATATTATTAGTAAGTTATATATGTTATATATATATATAATAATAAATATATTATAAATTAATATAATATATAAATTAATATATATATAAATGATTATATATATAATATAGTATTTATCTATATATAGTATATACTTTATATATATATATATTAATAGACATATATTATTTATATCTATATCTTCGATCCTCTATATCTTCATCTATATCTTATCATCTTATCATCTGTATCTCTATCATTATATATCTCATATATTATCCTCTCGTTCTCTCTCTCTCTCTATCTCTCCTCTCGTCTCATCTCATCTCTCTCTCTCTCTCGTCTTAGCTCTATCCTCCTCTCTATCTCCTTCTCTCCCTCCCTACTCCTCCTCTCTCTCTCTCTCTCTCTCTCTGGCCTTCCTTCTATCACTCCTCCCACTATATATATATATATATATATATATATATATATTGCACTGTTGGAGGAGTGACTTCAGTTTTCCATTGACATATCTACACTGTAGCTAATGTGCTAATGACAGTAAAGCCTCGATGTGTGACGCTGACCTCAGACTGTCCTCCATGTTTGACCCCAGGCTCGTGTCCGGACCTCATGATGAGTAGGAGCGATCACTTTGATGTGCGGCCCCCCGCGGCCCTCACCCCCCAGCTGCCCCCCCGAGCCCACCGGCCCCTCTGCATGTCCGTCTCCTCCGACAGCAGCGGGCGCTTCAAAGCTCTGGAGACGCAGGAGTGGAAGAACAACCTCAAAGCACAGGTACACACACACACACGCACACACACACGCACACCATGTATACATCACTTCAGGGGACATTACATTGACTTACATGCATTTCCTGGAAACTTATCCTAACCATAAACAACACATGCCTAACCCTAATCCTTACCCTAATCCTTATCCTAACCAAGTCTTCACCCTAAAATTAATGATTCCCCTTATGGGGACCTCCAATTTGTCCCCATAAGGGAGGCGAGTCCCCACTAGGGATGGGTATCGTTTGAAATTTATCGATTCCGATTTCGATTCCGGTTCTGCTTATCGATTCCGGTTCTTATCGATTCCCCGTTTCGATTCCAAAATTGTAAAATAAAGAGGTCAAACGTTTAGATAACAAAAATATATTTATTCTTAAAAGCTTTAACTGAAATTGTTACTCAAAAATATACATGCAATATAAATGTATTGCACAATAGCTGTGCTTTATTTTAACTGAGCTATGCCTGTGGCAAGCTATTAACAGGCATTACACTTTGCCTTTTCTTTTTCTTTTTTAGTGTAGTGGAGCCTCACTTCAGAGTGTTTACCGCGACCTATCTTTGGTGTTATGAAGTGACTGAGCTCGTGAAATGTCTACGGGAGGGCGGGGGAGCATCGCTGCGGGGCAACTGTGGACCTCTGTCGCCTGTCAGCGCAATTTATATGATGCCGTTTAAAAAAATGAAGGGCGGTGCCGGCCGTCAGCGTACCGAGCCGGCCGTCAACGGCCCGCTGACGACCGGCCGTTCTGTGATTCTCCAGGTCCGCCCTGTATTCCACCGGGTCACCGCAGCACCGCGGTGCAGACGGACCCGGTGGAATACAGGGTCTACCGCGTTTAGGAACCGTTAAGCAGAACCGAAATTGTGTATTTTGTATGGGTACCCGGTACCCGGCATTTTCTTATCGGTTCTCATCTGGAACCGAGTTTCGGTTCCCAACCCTAGTCCCCACACACACACACACACACACGAGAGTAACCGAGCAAAACGAGGGACTGTTTGAAAACATAAAACAAGAAAAAGTATCAAATTCCCAAATTTAATTTGTTCAGGCTGATGAGGTAATGAAGTATTCTTACAGACATTTGAAGCCTTATTTAAAAGTGTGTGTGTGTGTACATTCCCATCCTGTCCCTGTCACTAACTGAGCATTAGTGACACATTTACCAACAGACCAGAGGAAACACACTGCAGCGCTCAGCTCTGCCTCTGTGAATGTAAAGAAATGTACATCAGTCCTACAGATGTGTGTGTGTGTGTTTCAGATGGAGCAGGCCCACAGTGCAGGAGCAGCCAGCAGCACCGGGTCTCTGGAGCGAGCGTCCCTCTTCTGCTCTTCCAGCTCCGGCCTGTCCTCCCCCGTGGAAATCCTCAACAAAAACAAATCGTCCTCGTCTTCGAGCCGCTTCTCTCTCTTCTCTCCGCCGTGGAACAGCAGCTCCGAGTCCGAATCCAACCCTCCGTCTCGCTCCGGATCCAAAAAAAAGCTTCGTAACTACAGCCGTCGAGCCGCCACTGGACCCGCGGGAGCCCGGGGCCCCGACACACCCGAAACAAAACCCAAACCAGTGGAACAACAACACTTCCAATACTCCGAACCCGTGATCTCCAGAGTGACGGATTTCATCTACGTTGGAAATCTGAACGCGGCGTATAACGGGCGTTCGCTTTGCCGCAATAGCATCGACAGCATCATCGATATGAGCAGCGTTTCGGGGGATCCGGGTCCCATTTTGAACGTGATCCCGTGCACCTGTTCTCGTGGTGCCAGACACACGTGGTCTCGACTCAAAGTGGATATCGGAGACGTGCCGGAGCAGCGGTGTTTCGAGGATATCAACGAGTGTATCGGCGCCTCCACAGAGAAGAGGAAGCGCGTCCTGGTGCACTGCAGAGACGGGTTCTCGCTGGCGCCCACGTGCATCATTCAGTACCTAATGGTGAAGCAGAACATGAGGCTGATCGCCGCCTACGAGCTGCTGAGGGCCCGGTACCCCGTCAACATCCGGGAGCGCCACCAGAACCTGCTGGTGAGCCTGGAGAGGGCTCTGAGGCCCGGAGGGAACGTGGACCCCGAGTGCTTCAAACAGGCCATTTCCCGCAAAGTGGCGTGGACCTGACGCCCGTTTCCCATCATGCTTTGCCTGCTGCTCCGGACTCTCTTTACTCCTTTTAGCGTCCCAGAGCTTAAACACGCTTCTGGTCTTAATATACGTGGTGTAGAGTGGTGCAGGAATGAGTCCTAAAACCCTGCAATGAGTCAGCATTCTAGCAGTTATCTAGTCCCGAAGTCAATGGGGTTTAATATGTGTTGTTTTTAACGTGGCGTGGACCTGACGCCGTTTCCCATCATGCTTCAGACTCTCTTAATATCCCCACGTGGTGTAGAGTGGTGCAGGAATGAGTCCGCATTCTAGCAGTTATCTAGTCCTGAAGTCAATGGGGTTTAATATGTGTTAATAAGGTCTGTGGTTAACACGAGCTGAAGAGATTTTAACGTTTAAATACGCCGGTAAATACCCCACTGGTGAATTTTAAACACTGCTAACAAGTGTCTAAATGAGACGACTAACCTCCCATTGGACCGGGGAGACGTTGCCTTCAGGGTCCAACACAGAAATTACGACATCCCTGCACCACTCTATTGGATTTATTTCCCTATAGACACCACAGGAAGCTCTACCCCTGTGGATTCTGGATATTCCCGTCCCCACTTGAGTTCAGTGGTTCTGATGAGTTTGCTCTTCAAACCTGGAAATGTGACCCGATAGACTTCAGTGTAACATACTTAGCTTCTCGGTATAACGGTGTGATGGTGTTTCGCTGTATAGTTGATATTGTCCTGCTTCAGTTCTGTCGTGGTGTTGTTAAATATCAGGGGAAGATCTCAGGAGATTATTGATGTCAAACCAGTGCAGGGTGGGAATCTCTCGTTAGTCAGCGTTTCAGTTCACACCTGCCACTAAAATGCATCTTGTTTAGCTGTGTGTGATATTTCCAAAAGGTTTTTCTTAACAGCCGGTTTGTTGCTCAGCTGTGCAGCCACAACTTTAACTTTGGTTCAAAAGCCACGGTACAAATAATGAGTTATTGCAGGATTAAGGAAGGGGAGATGATAAAACTGCCTGTTGCTAAACCAGAAGAGCTTTGCATTTGGATCTTTAGTAAATGTCCAAACGTACTGGCATCAAAATGTACCTAAAACATTACAATATTTGATGCTTTATGCCAGCGGTTCCCAACCTTTTTGAACTCGGGTCCACTTAAGAATCTAAAACAGGGTTTAGTTGAATACTTGACTCTGATTGGTCGATTCAGAACATGTGACACATAAATGGTCAAATGGACTGTACTTATATAGCGCTTTATCCAGTCTTTAAGACCCCTAAAAGCGCTTTACATACCACAGGTCGTTCACCCATTCATACAGAGCAGTGTACCTTACTCTAGGACCTAACATTCACACGCCATCGGGAGCAACTCAGGGTTAAGTATCTTGCCCAAGGATACATCGACATGTTGACAGCAGGGGCTGGGATCGAACCCACAACCTTCTGGTTGAAAGACGACCGCACTCCCTTGCAGCCACAGTCGCCCTGTAAATGATATTGATTAGATTATTTAAGATCATACCTTAACATTACACTAGTTGTGTCACTTACTTGCATTCTCCATGGGCAGTCATCACCACCGTAGTCGTATGTCATTTCCTCTCCTTGTTGTTTGCCCTCTATGGCGAACAAGCATACATGTGGCTTCCTATCCACATCGACTCTTTTCATCTTACAGTTGGGCCCAAGGTGGTCGTCCCGTCCAAATGACCCATCTTCCCTTGAGGCGTCAAAACTTAACCATACAAATAAGAGGAAAGGGAACACAAACGAACAGTCCTTCATTTCACTTCCTTTAAAACTGGTATGAGTTGTGATATATTTTATTCTCTGATGCAGTTTAATCAATGTTAGTGCTGGATATAACTGTCATATATCCAACTGATTAAAGCCTTATAACATTCAGTGCAGTTTAGCATGGGTTTTAGTCATTGTGAAACTACAAATCTTACCTCCATGTCTTCCCTCGCCACTTAAATGAAAAAAGAAATCCAGCACAAGTCGGATGATACATGTGTTGTCTTCTGTGCAGTTCCTTATCATTGATAAGGTCCCCTCTACTCAAAAGCTAAATGTCCCGTGGAAAACTGACCAAGGGCAATCATACCACGTCCTTCAAGACAATATATGACATGTCCAGTGAAAGTGGCCGTTAGAATGATGAGTCTGTGGACTATATGTCATTCCAAAAGCAATGTGGAGATAAGAAGCGACATTTACACCAATTGATTATGTTACAATATAATGAACACCTTATGTAACATCCTCTTACCTTTCACTGCATTGATGTATTTCACATCTAATTGATTTGTTTCATCAGTCTTTGATTGGACATTCTGCTGGGCATCCTTAAGGGGACTGACCCTTGGTGCCCCTTTCACACCAACGCGGTTCCCGTTCCGTGCTAGAGCTTTTCTGGTTCGGAACCGGTTTTCTTTTCAGCCCCCGCTCTGTTCACACCGTCCAGAGCCCGAGTGGTGTTGCGTCATCGTTTGCGTCATGACGTAACCGTTTACGTGCCTGCTTCATAAAGCCAAACCGTGCGGAAACCCCTCACAACAACAACAATGGCCGATTGTATTGAAGCGCTACTCGTTTTGGTTTTACTCTGTCGAAACGAAATGGAAGAAATGGGACGACTTTACTACGAACTTTACATTCGTCACATGCGACATTCAAATGCCCATGCCCCCGCCTCCGACGTAAGCGTGACGGATGCGGTTCTTGCTTCTAGACCGACAATTTTTTGGTGCTTGAAAAGCACCGGGTTTCGGTGCTTAGAGCCGGCTCCGCTGCGGTGTGAACAGGAAAAAAATTGTGCTTTTCAGTAGGGCTGTGCAATTAATCGTATATTAATCTCGATTACGATTTTGGCTTGCAACGATTACGAAAACAACGTAATCGAAATAAAACGATTATTATTTTTTTGTATTGGTTTTTCAGTTGAATTATACTTAAAGTTCAGGGCAATCAACTGTTAAAAACATACTGTTCAATTAATTTCTCAATAAATGGATGTTTTCAAAGTAAATGGATAATCGTTTTTAATAATCGTGATATCAATTATTGACCAAAATAATCGTGATTAGGATTTTTGCCATAATCGAGCAGCCCTACTTTTCCGGCTCTAGCTCCGAACCGGCCCCGGAACCGCGTTGGTGTGAAAGGGGCATTGGTGGCATTTCCAACTGCAGAGAAAGGTAGCAAAAATTAGATGGCTTTTTTTCATTCTTGTTCATCACTCCAAACTGCGCTAGCTGCTAAAGCATATCACACACCTGAGCACCATGCAAATACACTTTAACGGCTAGCTATGCACCGACTGTATCACTACTTTACACCACAAATATTTACTTTCATTTCTTTCTCAGGTGTGAACTGAAAACATGTGAACCAGCCATTTATTTAGAATTGTTGTTTTTCCTCCTACAAATCTAGTTTGGATGTAATTTAGCTGTTGAAGAATCCGGTTGCTGCCGACGCCCTGAAGAACGCACATGTGTTTTTATCATTATTGGATTTACATCGACTGGATCTATCTGCTTCTTTCGGGAACTTTGCACACGGACCCACGTTTTTAAATCTTCAGTCTCACGCAGTTTTCTTTGTGTTTTCCGAGGTCGATGGAAAATGAAGGCCCAACCTGTCCTCTGTGAGGAAGACACTGTTTGCTCGGTTGAATCTCTCTGGTGGTGCTTTGTGAAGATGAATGTCCGTGTATATGCAGTGAAGCTGGGTGACGTCTGTGGATTATCAGTATTATTGTGTCTGTGCCACTCAATACGCTGCGAGAGGGGATTTTGCACAAATCACCGGGTCGTCCTACATGCAAACATCGCCTTTTATTTTATTATTGTTTGAATTATTGTTATATCTGGACGTGGTTTGCACATTTTGAGGATCGTTTACATGCTCATTATCCTGATAGTTGATGGTTTAATTAAAATGTTTACATGTTTCACACGCTCGATATATTCCCCGAAAACCTGAGTTATTTATTTTTTGAAAACGGTGTGAATCACATCCAGGGGTTTTTCTAGAAAGAGTACTGTGGATCCTGTTTATAAGATATATCAAAGAGAACTCTGTTCGATACTTCTGGAGGAATTATACCGTTTCTGAAAATATTGTTTTCTGATCACATTACAACGTTGGTCACAAACAATCCGTATAACAACTTTACCAAAAAGAGACACTCACGCACACACACACACACACACACACTCAAAGACAGAGACACACACAGGGAAACACACACATAGGCAACACACACACAAAGACAGAGACACACAGATACACACACACACACACCATGTATACATCACTTCAGGGGACATTACATTGACTTACATGCATTTCCTGGAGACTTATCCTAACCTTAACCATAACCAACACATCCCTAACCCTAACCAAGTCTTCACCCTAAAATGAATGATTCCCCTTATGGGGACCTCCAATTTGTCCCCATAAGGGAAGCCAGTCCCCACACGTGACTATGTAAACAGATGTAGGTCCCCACAAGTATAGTAATGCTAGCCTACACACACACAGAAGTCTTAAAACGTTGGTCACAAACAATCCATATAACAACTTTACCCAAGAAAATATTTTATAAAAATCACACTAAATGTCAACGAGCGAAAACATCATTTTTAAATGATTTTTTTAGTCTATAAAATGAAAGACCATCGTGAACAATTTTCTCACAGTTTAAAGCAAGGTCTAAAATTATCCAGGAAAACCCAAGTAATTGTGAGATAAAAGAGGAAATCAGCAAATCCTCACTTTGGAGAATAATTGGTATTCCCTGTTTTAATAAATGACTTGAAAGATAAATAGATTTTCCAAATTATTGCTGATTAATTTTGACTTAATATTAATATCTGCCTTGTATTTAATTCCCCAGAGGATGATTTAGGATATGAAGTTTGGCCCAACAACACGGTAAACCCTTTTAAACGAGACCTGTCACAGAGTATAAGGGATGCTGTAATACATATTTAAAAAGTGTCTTGAACATCGTGTAAAATGCCGTTATTAGCCGCTAGTCAGATTGTGCTGTAATCCGAGGGTTAAAGTTAAAGTAGCTAAACTTAACTAGCTAATGGTGTTTTTATTGTGTGCTAAACATGAACCATGTATATCATAGTCCACTCTCGGATAAGCAGAGCTAGCTAGCTAACGCGATCAGTGGAAATTGTGGTCAAACGTTAGTGGACTAACACGTGCCTGATTCATGTTTAGCACAAAAGAAAACGCTAGCTTTTATGCTAAAGGTCGGAGAATGATACATTTTATACGAGGTTTATTGACCGTTAGCTAAAGGAAAGAAGTGGAAATTGTGTATTATTTAGTACAAAATCCATCTTCATCATCTACTGACGAATCTTTTATCTGGAGCGAAACTAGTTGAAACTTGTTGTTAAACACCAATTTTGGAGCTGAAAAATATCCGTTTGTGACCAAAAACATCCTGTAAATACTGAAATAACGACTAAAAACGTCTAATATTCTATTTAAGCCGTAGAGAGAATCAGTTGTACAGGATTTTACCAACATTTCTTGAGGTTTAACCCCCCGCGGTGTGATGGGCGTGGAAGAGTAAAAGTATGGTGCCTTCATTTTGAGTCGTCTCGTGACCGTACGGTGACATTTGCACACTTTGTATGACTTTAACTTCTCTCGATATGTAAAACAAGTTGGATATTTTTCGTGTATGAGCATTTGTGTAACGTGGTCCTTGCTGTAATATATTGGCTTGTCATTCGTGCGCACAGTACCCGTTGTTTTAAATATAAACAGGGGATGAAGACGTGGATGAAGAGGATATATTTCACTAACAAAATCTACATATTTTGGGTTTTAATCTCTTTTGTTTTTAAAGTAATCTTAAAGGTTTTCTAACTCGTTCTCTCAGGTGATTTCTCAGTGGCCCAGAATGTTCTCAATGAAAACGATATTCAGAAATGTGAAGCGTGTATTTCTCATGTCATGTTTCTTAAAGTCGGATATAATTTGTACTGTTAAAATATTAAAGAAAAGGATGTAAATAACAGTTGTTGTTGTGCTTACTTTGAAAATGAACCGTGTAGTACACAAGGATTTGAAATGCCCTCTATTTTCTCACACACACACACACACACACACACCATGTATACATCACTTCAGGGGACATTACATTGACTTACATGCATTTCCTGGAGACTTATCCTAACCTTAACCATAACCAACACATGCCTAACCATAACCAACACATGCCTAACCCTAACCCTTACCCTTAACCTTACCCTAATCCTAAACAGGTCTTCACCCTAAAATTAATGATTCCCCTCATGGGGACCTCCAATTTGTCCCCATAAGGGAGGCGAGTCCCCACACTTGACTGTGTAAACAGATTTAGGTCCCCACAAGTATAGTAATGCTAGACCACACATACACACAGACACACATGGCGAGAGAGATACACACACACAGAGAGAGACAGGTGGTAGGGCGGCAGAGGTAATGAGGGTAAGAACCTCACTTGGAGAGAGAGGGGAAAAGGAGGTAAGTGTGTTGGTGGAAGGAGGGTCTGGTGACCCAGTGGTGAGTAAAGGTGAGTCAGAAAAAGAAGAGATAATATCATCAACCTTTTTTTCAAAGTGGGTAACAAAGTCGCTTGACAGGAGTGAGGAGGGGGAAGGGGCTTTGGGGGGGTCCAAGAGGGTGGAGAAGATGGAAAATAGTTTTTTGGGATTGGAATAGGAAGATTGGATCTTATCTTGAAAGAAAGTGCTTTTTGCCTGAGAGATCGAAGCAGAGAAAGAGGAGAGGAGAGCCTGATAGGTTAGGAGGTCGTCACGGTGTTTGGATTTCACCATTTCCGCTCTGCTGCCCTAAGGACGGTTCTATTAGCACGCAGTGCATCATTAGCCAGGGAGCAGGAGGGGACTGACGAGCCTGCCGAGATGTGAGAGGACAGAGAGAGTCCAGAGAGGATGAGAGAGTAGAGAGGAGAGTTTCTGCAGCAGAGTTTGGAGGCAGGAGTTGGAACGAGTCCGAGGAAGGGAGGGCTGAGAGCACCGATGAGGCAAAGGTAGAGGGGGGAGAGGGAACTAAGGTTACGGCGGACAGGTGCAGGATGAGAAGAGATTAGTTTGTTATGTTTGGAAAGGGGTAGAGAGAATGAAATGAAGAAGTGATCGGATGTGTGGAGCGGGTTTACAGAGAGGTTAGAACTAGCGCAATTCCTTGAGAATATGAGATCAAGGACATTGCCAGCTTTATGAGTTGGTGGGGAAGGAGACAGTGACAAAGCAAAGGCGGTTAACAGAGATGTCAGTTCGTCTATCTTCCCTGTCTGGAGGTTGAAGTCTCCGAGAAGTACAGCGGGAGGGCCAGTTTCAGGGATGTGTGAGAGGAGATGATCTAATTCCTCCAAGAAGTCCCCCAAGGCGCCTGGTGGACGGGAGAGAACAACAATGGTTCATTGTATAGGATGGGTTACTGTGACGGCATGGAATTCAAAGGTGGAAGGAGTGAAGTTAGGTAGCTTGAAGAGGGAAAAGCTCCATTTGGGAGAGAGCAGGAGACCAGTGCCACCTCCTCTGCCAGTGGGTCTGGGTGTATGGGAGAAGGAATATGCAGTGGAGAGAGCTGCTGGGGTGGATGTGTTGGATGGAGTAATCCAGGTCTCAGTGAGAGCAAGGAAATCCAGAGACTGCAGGGAGGCGTAGCCAGAGATGAAGTCAGCCTTAGGAACAGCTGACTGGCAGTTCCACAGGCCACCTGAAACTAGATGTTGGATCTCAGTGGAGCATGTGGGATAGACGAGAGCAGGCCGGTTATATCGGTTAGGAGATACACGGGGCCAGTGATAATTGCGAGAAGACACATGAACAGGAATGGAGAAAATACACATGATTATAGCATGAGGGGCTAAACAACCAAAGAAAATAAAACACCAGCGATACTTAGCTCAATCTGAGTAGGATTTGCCTCCTCTTTGCCTCCCTCGTGACTCCTGTAGGACTCCAATGTCTTTGTCAGTCTTACTCCCGCAGGACTCTAATGTCTTTGTCAGTCTTAGCCTGTCTGACGCTCCAGGAAAGAGCTACCTAAAATGGACACCTGATTGCTGAGTTCTCACAGCTGTGGGGCCACGCCCCTTTAATTAGTTAACTCTCTGCAGCTGGTGGCCCTCAAAAGGAAATCGAGACTGGTTCCCTCCTGAGTTGTTATTGTATCTTTTCAGTGGCACGATGGTTTTACAATTACATTAAACACCAAGTTATAAAGTTATGAGTTTAACCCTTAATGCAGTTACACCTACTCAATAAAGCTCTTAGTATTCTACAAATGTTTAAATCAAAGTTAACCCTAGCAGTCAATTAGTTCAGTTTTAAGGTTTCAGTCAAATTACTTGTCCCAAGTTTCTGCCTGACAGATACTGTAGCGGTTTTGAGATGTAAAATCACAATTTCAGTCAGATCAACTACAGAGCATTGATACAGAGTACACACACTGAAACAGAGAAGTCTAAAGACAGAATGTTACTCACACAATTCTAGAAGTCACCAGTTGTTATCCTGTCAAAATCGAGTTGCACACTGAAACATATACAGCAATCTTAATGTCTATGATCAGCTGATCCAAGAGGTTTTAAAATAGTTTATAAAGCTTCAGAAGAACCAAAGCTGTCAGACAAACGTAGTGAGGTAGAAATATACAAATGGAAATAGTCAAGTACATTTTTTAAGCTACTTTCCTTAAGTTGAGAACTAGTGAAAACTGTTCTTCAGTAAGTACATAAAAAAAACACACAAAAAAACATTCTTTGTTCCTTTTTTCTTTTTTAACCCATTGAGGCTTTATTCAAACTATACAAGAGAGAGGTGGACGAAATAAAATGAACATCACACAACAGACAGCTGAGATGTAACATTTTCATTTCCCTCGTTTGTGAAACCACTGCAGCCTAATGTTTAATGATCAGATATTGTTGATTCTCGCAGTAACTGTCATTCAATCAATGTCCTATCTAACTGAATCTACCCTTATAAAACATACCAGACATACCCATCATCTCTCACTTTTAAACTTATAAAAAAAGGAAATGTATATATACAGTATTTTACGAATTAAAAAGGTGTGCATTACTTCCACTAGTTATGTGTGCAAGAATGACACTTTTTTAACAACATTCTGAGACAATAAATACTTTCTTGTCCCCCTGACATATAAAGAAGTGGCAAAAGTGTATTTTTGGGTAAATAGTTTTCTGATCACTTGAAGTTATGACGGCAGGTAGTGCAATCTGTATACTCAGTATTTTATGTATTTGTATGCGTCTCAAGGTGAACCATATGTGATCAGATTCTGAAAAATTAACAATGTGTACAATGTACACCACCCATTTAGTGAAAGTTAGTGTCTCTTTCTGTAGAAAATCAAAGGGTTGTTCTACTCGGTGTGATTGACAGGAGAGATGATCAGAGGGGCAGAGTTTTTACCACCATGATTAAGACAGGGACAAAATAATGGGTAGAGTTTCTCTTTGAAGCAGACGCCAGTGAAGGAGTAGATCAGAGCTGCAGCATCAACATCATAAAAGGAGACCAGACCCTCCTCATAATCCACAAACACCCCCACCTTCTCAGGCTGAGACTTCAGAGAGAGACGGACTGCAGGACCAGCACAAGCTGTGTACTCATTTCCATTCCTCAACACTATCGTCCAGTAACCATCCTGAGGAGACAGTGAGATGTTTCCCTTCCTCTTGATCGACTCTCTGGCCACTCCTAGATCCCAGTCAGTCTTTCCTTTAACCTGAACCTCGTAATAAAATCTTCCTGAAGAGAAACTCTGCTTTGCTAAAACACAAGTACAAGTATCAAATCTCTCTGGATTGTCTGGGAGATTCTTCTTCACATCACCATGTTTCACTTGTTTTCCATCATCAGACAGGATGAGTTTGGGTTGTGCTGTATCAGGATCAAGAGTCACCTCCTCCTCAGACTGCTGGACCCTCTTCAGCTCCACCTCAAGCAGCTTCTTCATCTGTTTCCTGAGCGTCTCCTCCAGCTGAGTCACAGCTCTCCTCACAGTCCCCTCATATGAAGGTGGACGGACCCTGACTTCTGTCCAGTTCTTGGTGGGTGGAGCAGCGTTCAGGGACGTGAAGCTTTGGAGGAGGTGGAGCTGGTCTTCAGAGCGTGAGAGCTGCTCCACCTCAGAGCTTCTCTTCTTCAGCTCAGAGACTTCCTGTTCCAGCTCTTTGATGAAGCCTTCAGCCTGTTCCTCTGTCTCTCTCTGCTTCTCTTTGATGGAGTCGATGAGCTCGGCCTGGCTTCTCTCAACAGACTCCTTCAGAGCGGTGAAGACCTGAACACCATCTGCTATCTCTCTGTCTGCTCCTTCCTTACTGAGCTCCACTGAGCGATTCATCTCCTGAATCTTCAGTCGTCTCTTGTGGATCATCTGCTGAATTTCAGCCTCTGTCTTTCCCAGCTCTGCCTTCTTTCCTTCATATTCTTCTTTCAGAGGAACAACATCATGTGTCTTGTGGTCTGAAACAGTGCAGAGCATGCAGACACACACCCGGTCGGTCTTACAGAACAGCTCCAGCTGTTTATCGTGCTTCACACACATCCTGCCTTCCAGGTTCTCCTCAGGGTTGATCAGCTGATGTTTCTTCAGGGCTGCTCTTGTCAGGTGAGGCTCCAGGTGAGTCTCACAGTAGGACTCCAGGCACACCAGGCAGGACTTCAGGGCCTTCAGTCTGGTTCCAGTGCAGGCGTCACAGGGAGCTTCTCCTGGTTTGACAACGTGTTGCTCTGAGCTGCTGCTGCTGGCTTTCTGTTGAGCTGACTGTCTGAACTGAGCAGCCATCTCAGAGATGAACGTGTTGACCAGCATTTCAGGTCTTGTGTGGAATAACTTTTTACAGTTAGGACACTGATAGGGGACTTTAGTATCCCAGTGTTCAGAGATGCAGGCTTTACAGAAGTTGTGTCCACATGGTGTGCTGACTGGATCAGTGAACACATCCAGACAGATGGAGCACAGAAACTGATC